GCCTGTATTTAGAACCACACCATGGCCTGTCCAATGTACCCTTCTCCTTTCCAGGTTCATCTTACCAGTCCTAACCTTGGCCAGGCAAGGCTGCTTACTGTCGTCTCCACAGACGTGGCACTTTCCTTCCTAATGCCTTGGCCCACACCATCCTTTTCAACAGAAATGCCCACCCCTTCTTCCACCTACCCAAACCCTACTCCTTTTTTACAACCCTTGAATCCACCTCCCCCTTGAATCTATCAACTCAGCCAGAAATGATTTCACCCCACCTTCCTGAAACCCATTATTTAAATCAATTACATGGCATTTACCTTATAATGCCTTCCCTCATAGTTATGTCCCTAGGTAGTTCACCTTCCACACTAAGTTGTAAAACCTTTGAGGGCTTCTTTACATTACATTTCCCACAGTGTTCTTCATGGCATTTCACATATACAGGTTTCTCACTAAGTACTCACTGAATGACTGTTTATTGAGAGAAGTCAGCCTTTTGGCTGCTGGAAAAGGCCCAGAGTGAAATGAGCAAAGCAGGGCTGATGACTATAAAACATGCATGGGTGCAGTGAGGCATGAACGCACACAGACACACACATCCACCTACACAGGAGGCCAGCTTATATATTCTGTCCATTTTAAAGCAGTTAGAGGATGAATGACAACCACACCGCGTGGAGCTGAGCAAGCACTTCATCTCTCTTGAAGATCTGCCATTTTTCAAAGCCTTACTTACTCCATGGACCAGACACTAAAAAGACACTAAAAAAAAGCTGAAGTGAAGAAACTGAAATAAAAGCTTAAGTGAACAAACCAAAATATGGCTGAAATAAGAGGCACTAGGCTATTCTCAAAGAAAGCTTACAGTCACAACCTATTCTAAAAAAAAAAAAAAATCTAGGCTGGTATCAGAAAATCTGGGTTCAAGTCTAGGCTCCATTACACCACATGGACATTTCATCTGACCAGCAAGCTGCTTTTCCCATCTAGGAGAAACAAACAAAAAAGTCTCTTGTACAGGAAAACTTGTATCTCCTCCAACTTATTGCCCCAACGTAGTTCTCTATTCATGCAGCAGGAAAAACTGTCAGTTAGGGAGGAAAGGTTTTATCACCATCTTTTGTGGTATAACCTGTTCACTTATCTTGACTTAACTTGGAATCTAATTGGAAAAGTAAAACTCAAAGGCAGTTTGTGGCTCATTATGGAAGGGGTTGATTTCAGAAGATCTAGGCCAACCTCCTGCTAGACCTACCCTAGTCATCTTCAAGGCAAGACAGAGAGGGCAGCATCTGGCCTTGCCTAGTTTCAGAGAAATCTCCCTCTCAAATGCCTTCCTCTTCAGTTCAAGTTCATCACCTCAAGTTTGAATTCCAGTGAAAGACTCTTAGCTAGTCTCTGTGAATCTGGGCTCTCCCAGGGCCCAAGGAGTGTACTTGTCTCTACCAAACCAAGTTGCAATGACCTCCCAAATGCCAAATCCATGGGTCTCTCCTCAGCCTTTACCTTATTTGACCTTCCTCTACCATCTGAACTGTTGAAACCACCGTTGCACTTCTTTTCAAAACCCTCTCTCCTCTCTTGGCTTCCATGATACGGCTCATCCTGAGTCTTCTATTTTCTTTGCTGGCCCCCCTTTATCCTACCCGTTCCCAAAGCTCTTGCTCTCCAGTCTTCAGTCCTCTATTCTCTTCCCCTCTCTTTCTACACACTACTCCTTTTTTTTTTTTTTTTTTTTTGAGACAGAGTCTTGCTCTGTCACCCAGGCTGGAGTGCAGTGGCATGATCTCGGCTCACTGCCACCTCCACCTCCTGGTTCAAGCAATTCTCCTGCCTCAGCCTCCTGAGTAGCTAAGACAGCAGGCATGCACCACTACACTTGGCTAATTTTTGTATTTTGCAGAGATGGGGTTTCACCATGTTGACCAAGCTGGTCTCAAACTCCTGACCTCAAGTGATCCACTCACCTCAGCCTCCCAAAGTACTGGGATTACACATATGAGCCACCACACCCAACCACTACACACTACTTCTGATCAAGCTCCTCCACTCCTATGGCCTCAGCTTGCTCCTGTGTGCTCATCTCTCCCAAACTAACATCTTTCCTGAGCTCTAGACCTGCTTTCAGTTGCCTACTGAACATTTCAATACAGATGTGATTCAGCCTGTCAGAAACCAAACTCAGTAGCTTCTTCCCCCTTCCTCCATGATGTGGTTTAGCGGTGTCCTTACCCAAATCTCATCATGAATTGTAGCTCTCATAATCCCCATGTGTCATGGGAGGGACCCAGTGGGAGGTAATTCAATCATAGGGGCAGGGCTTTCCCATGCTGTTCTTGTGATAGTGAATAAATCTCACCAGATCTGATGGTTTTATAAATGGCAGTTCCTCTGCATGACCTCTTGCCAGCTGCCATGTTAGATGTGCCTTTGCTCCTCCTTGGCCTTCCATCATGATTGTGAGGCCTCATAAGCCACGTGCAACTGTGAATCTGTAAACCTCTTTTTCTTTATAAATTACCCAGCCTTGGGTATGTTTTATCAGCAGCATGAAAACAGACTAATACACCCCCCCACTTGGTCTTTCCCTTTCATTCTCGATTTCAGCTAATTGTCCAGGTCATGCCTGCTTCAACTTCAATTCTTCCTTGTCCTTCCCACTCCATACTGAATGGGGCACTAAATGTCACCAATTCTGCATTTTAGGTTATCTTTTCTGCATTCCAACTGCCATAGCCAATGCCCTCATCGACTCTCATCTGGGCAGGATAACGGCCTAACTGGTTTTCGCCTCTTCTTTCTCTACCAGTCCAACCCATACTGGAGTCTCTCATTTTATAACACAAGCTTGATTATTACCACCTCACTTCAAACCTTTTAATAACTCTCCAAACTCCCTGATATCTGGGCTCAAATTACCTTTTCAGTCCCATTTCCAAGCGTGAGCTATCTGTCCAAAGGTGTCTTCTATCCTACCTTAATCCCCTGGATCTACATAGAAGCTACAATATTCTGTGTAAGGAGTTTTGTACAGAATGCCATCCTCTCACTTCCTAAGCCTTAGATCAACATGTATAAACGACCAACTTTGTACTCTCTACTTCTCCCCTCAAAATCTACTCAGGGGCCAGGTGCCATGACTCACACCTATAATCCCAGTACTTTGGGAGGCTGAGGTGGGAGGATCGCTTGAGGCCAGGAGTTTGAGATCAGCCTGGGCGACATAGAAAGACCTTATCTCTACAAAAATAAAAATATAAAAAATAAAAAAGTCTACTTGATAAAACTATTCTCATTCTTCAAAGACAGGACAGTATCACTTTCTCTCTGCAGCCTTCCCTGACTTTCCTCAATGGCAAAACCACTGAACTGCCTCATTTGCACTCTCCAGAATTTTGTTCCTGCCTCAGAATGGTACCTATCCTAAGACCCCTGTATGTTCCTAGAGCATAGGGACCAGCAATATTCATTTATGTATCCCCAGCACTGAGTGCAAGTACCACCAGGCTTATAACAATAACTCCATAAATACTGAAGTAGTAAATCCCTAAATTTGACTCTTATCATGAAGACAGTAAGTTTCTGAGAAAATCAGTCTGATGGGAATAGAGAGATTCCAAGTAAGGAAGCATGGAACCCCACTAGGGGAAGATTCTTCCTAGTGACTCTCAAATCTCCTAGAGGTGGCTGCCTGCTCTGCCAGTACATAAAGACATTCTCCTCTCCCTAGCCATGGCACCTTATTTCAGAACACAACACATGTGCTCTTAAAGCATAAAAGGGCCTCACTGTGCCCCCACTGTGACCCACAGCATCACTGTCCTAATGCTGTGATCTCAGCTACTCGCGATCTTGCCACATCAATAAATGAATCTAAAGTTGCATTAAAAACAAATGGGTGTAAAAGCGCCTATAGAGCCCTAAGAAGGAGAATATATTCTGAGATCAATAACTGAGAAGTGAACTGAATTTTAATTTTTTCAGAAGCTTTGCTTTCTGATATCTAGCCTCATTATGGCCTAAGTATATTGCTTCCCTTTTCCTGTAGCCTTCAAATCACTTAAGCCCATAAAGCATTTAATTTGTATTACAAGTTAGGTCCCACTTCAGACTAAGGTCCCAGAGGTACTTGAACAATCCTTAGGCCAGCGGCTCACTTCTTAAGCAGTAATATGCCATCCATATTGTGTACAAGGGACTGTTCTAGATCCAATGAGACCAGTTCCTGCCCTGAGAGAGCTTCTGTGTCAGAGGCAGAAGCATTTAAAGCATACATGAGCACAGTACAATGAGTTCCATGGTAGAAATGTATTCTGACATGGCTGGGCAAGGAACAGAGAGTCTTGAGCTGGCTATGTCCCTGGTTCCAGAAATGTGCTCTCGCCTCAGTGTATCATCCAATATTTATTCAGCCTCTACTACAAACTTTCTACTCTCATGGAACTTTCACTTGGGTTCAGTTTTAGCAAATAGATTCCTGTCTTACTCTCTTATACTAGAGTACCTTCCAGAAGTACCATTTCTCTAGGATGAGGGCCCTACCTTTCGCTAAGCCAAACCTTCCAGGAACTTGACTTCTACCTTTGAATTCAAGTCCCATTATTGGGTCTGCCTGCCTGATGCTGAGTGTACATCCCTGCCTGTCCTTCCCCTATTGTCCTCTGGCTGGAACCCCTGATACTGTCCTTTGCCCGCTGTGCCCCAGGGTCCTCATCCATAAGCTGAGGATAAGAATAGAACCTCCCTCCATGGAATATTGTGAGGATTAATGAGACTAGGTTGGCACATGCTAAATACTCAATAACTGTCATCATCATTATTATCTTTATTACTAAGATCCTTGCCACACTGTCTCCCTCATCCATGGACTTTCCTTCCTGATAATGTGTGAGCTAGGGAAAAGAAGGGGCCCTCCTAGTCATGTCTATCCTCACTGAGGTTGTGAGGGCTCAGTTTAGCCTTCAGAGGCTGGCCACCCAAACCCAGCTGGGGAAACCAAGTACCTCTCAGTGTCAAGTAGCCATAAGCTAGGTTGGTCAGAGCTTGTGCACATTTCCAGTGATGGTCCCCAAAAATAATCCGAGAAAGGATGGCACATCGAATCAGCTCCTTGTTTGCTTGAGTATTCTGTAGGGTACAGAAGTGATTATACTTTTTGGAAAGGAGGAGAAGTCTCTAGCCCATGGACTTATCACTGGAACACAGGACTGAATTCACTTGTCATCTTTTTTCTCTCCTCTTTCTTTCTCATCCTGTGTCCAATCCATCAGGTCTGGTTGGATCCACATTCCCCCTAAATCCTAAAACCAAGCTCTTCTTCTCATTTCTGCCATGAGTACCTAGTCCAGGCCATCCTCATCTTTTACTTGGCTGGCTACAACAGCCCCTTCCAATTGCTTCCTCTCTGGCCCCCACAGTCTACTTTCTACGTAATAGCCAGAGTGACTTCTTTTAACCTTTTATCATGAAAAACTTTATTAGTATACAAAATAGCATGAAGAATGAATATGTAGCATGATCAGTGATCTATTCCTGGCCACTCTTGTTTCCTATCTAGACCTCTCATCCACCCATCCTCACCTTAAATTGAAGCAAATCAGACATTCCATTGTTGCCTCTATAAACATTTCGTAAGTACCTCTAAAAGATACGGACTTAGAAACATAACCACAAAATCATTATCTCATCAAAATGTTAACAATAATTCCTTAAAATCAAATATCACAGAAATCTAATTTTTAAAATAGTTTGTTTGACTGTCCACATTGTGAGATCAGTCTCTTTCCATCTGTAGGTTACCTTTCCATCTCTAATTCTTTTTCTTACAAATTATTTGAAAAAGCTGAGTCATTTGGTCTAGTATTTCCCACAGACATAAATTTTGATGACTGCATCCTCATGGCGTCTCATCATGTCCCTCCATTCTCTGTTCTGCCTTTATAATAGTAGTTGGGTTTAGAAGTTTGGTTAATTTCAGCTTTGAATTCTTTTTTTTACAAAATGACTTCATGGTTAGTGGTATGTTCTTCCAGCAGAATACATCTACTATCTGGTTGTTTTTTCTTTTTTTCTTTTTCTCAGATATTAGGAAAACTACATGGAAAATTAACAAAAGATTATAAAATGCAAATATATATTTCTATCATTCCTTCTTCATACATTAGTTGGAATAATTCTATAAAGAGAATTTCTCCTCCTCTACTCTTTGGTTACCCAATAGTACAGTTCATATTGGAAAGGCAGGACACATGGTTTATCCTTGCCCTTTCTTTACTAGCTTTCAGAAAAATGAATTTGTTCACTCGCAACCTCTAATTGTGACCAAATAGCTTGTTATTATTATTAGAAACTTATGGATTTTTAAACATATTTTATGTGTTTATAACTTAAGATGTAAATTAGATCGTGACTTTCCTATTCAAAATCCTCCAACAGCTTCCCGCTTTTTCTTCTTAACAGAATTCAAAGTCCTTACCATGGCTTCCAAGGTTTTGCACAATCTGACCCAATCCCAATCACCTCTGGACTTCATTTTCTACCACTCTCTCCTCCTACTCCATCTGCTAGAACTATACTGACCAGAGGTTCCTGAACATCACCAACTAACTTCCAATGCAGGGCTGTGCACATGCCGCTCCCTCTGCTCGGGACACTCTTCCATGTCATTCACTTTCTCATTCCATTTTCACTTTTCTTATCAACAGGCCTGTTTTGGCCACCTTATCTAAAACAGATGCCACTTCATCACTCAATATCCCATTACCTATTTTACTTTTTCTTCATAGCACTTATTTCTATCTAATATTGTATTAGCTATTGTTTTTGTTTGTCTATTATCTCCCCGAATAGAAGATAAGTCCCTTGAGGACAGAAGTGTATTCCTCATGTTCACTGTTATCTGCTCAGTACACACAGGTGTAACACGTTCCGTATTTGCTGAATGAATCATTTATTAGCAAGGTTAAAGATGGGTTGGGGGAAATAATCCTCTACCCCTATAGAAGTGACAGGTACAGCTCTCTAAGAAATCACCGAACTGCATCTTCACGTCATGTATTTCAGTGACTTTACAAACACAGCCAATATGGCTGGACCAGTCGATATGGTCAGGCATTTTTTTCCTGGTAAAGTGAAAATAGCACTTCAAGGGACCAAAAAGCTAAAGTTTCAGCCCTGGTTCTAATGTTTGTTTACTGATTGTGTTGCTTTGGGGCAAGTCACTTTGATCTCAGCTTCCTTTTCTGAGATTTGGAAACCTGTATCATCTACCTCATGGAGTTACTGTAAGGAAAAAAAAATAGTGTCAAAATGATTCAGTGTTGTTAAGTGCGATCTAAATGCAACCCGTTTGAAGAATAATGTACAGGTAACTGAAGTAACCCATTTAAAGAGTAATGTTAGATAAGATACAGCAGTACCATACGTGATTCCAAGGAATGCACTCCTTCCTGATTCCTGTCTTCTACCCAACTTCATGTTTTACCTGAACCCTGCTCAAATATACAGAAGCAAGCAATGGTAGAAGGAAACTTCCCCTGATGCTTCCAAAACATCCATTTAGTCAGCATTTTTTAGAGTTCACCATGGGCTGACCACAGCAAATACTAAGTTCTCTTTCGAGGAAGAAGCATCATGCCATGAAAAAATCACTAGAATGGAAGACCAAAGCTTTGGCTCTGGACATTGTATATTCATCCTCGAACTCCTTGACTCGGAGAAACTGGGACAACCAATATGGGCTCCAGATGTCATCCCAGCACTACTGCTGCTGATGTGGCATCCCCTGCCCTTCAGGGCTAGGAGTACTGGGTTGGGTTTGATTTAAAAACAAAACAAAACAAAAAAAAAACCAGCTTTATTGAGCTATAATTGACATGCAAATAACTGCACCTGTTCACTGTATACAATTTGATGAGTTTGGGATTTGAGTTAGATTTCTCTCGTAAGGTCTAAATCTTTGTCATTATCCAATCTGGCCAAGGGGTTTTCAAGCCTTGAAAACCCCCACTTACACTCCATGGCAGATGGTACTTGTCCGTTTTTAGAAATGATCCTTCTAGCCTCAATTTGTGAATCACTAATGGGTCCAGGCCAGGTTGATTGTCCTTTGCAAGGTCCTTGGGTCATTTACAGAGATAAATTTACAAATATCCATCTAGAGAGATACTTCAGAGGCAAATGATAGAAAAATAAACCTATCTAGATTACTTTTTTCCCCTTGGCTAGGAGGATCCAGGAAGTCAAGGTACAAACTCTTCTGTTGATAAATCATGTTCTGGAAGCAGGTGGGTGCCTGTGTTCTAATAATGAGAGTCGATGTCTTGCTGTCTCAGTTTCCTGGATTTTGATTACTCATGCTTACACACCTGCTCTGAGATCTTTGACTCAAGTCTTGGACTTGCTCTTAGAAATGCATACTTGGAATCTTTGACCTCCACTTCGACCTCCTGTTTCTGGCCCTTTAGTTTATTTATGATTCCACTGTAACCAAGGGCATCTTACCCATATCCTTTCCAGGCTAGATCTTAGACCTGCCTGACTGCCTGTTCTCAACCTCCTGCGTTACTATCCCAGCCTTTTTGTTACCCAAGAGACAGCATCCTGAAACCTTCCAGGATGGATATATATATACACATACACACACACACACACACACGTATATACATACATATGTACGTATGTATTTGTATATATATGTATATATGCATATATATGTGTGTGTGTATATACATATATACACTTTTTTTTTTCTCTTTGAGACAGAGTCTCGCTCTTGTTGGCCTGGGCTGGAGTTCAATGGCATGATCTCAGCTCACTGCAACCTCTGCCTCCTGGGTTCTAGCAATTCTCCTGCTTCAGCCTCCCAAGTAGCTGGGATTATAGGCATGCCCCGCCATGCCCGGCTAATTTTTGTATTTTTAGTAGAGACGGGGTTTCACCATGTTGGCCAGGCTGGTCTTGAACTCCTGACCTCAGGTGATCCGCCTGCCTTGGCCTCCCAAAGTGCTGGGATTCCAGGTGTGAGCCACCAGGCCTGGCTATTTTTTTTTTTTTTTTAATTTTAAGTTAAAGGTAACAGCAACAAAAATAACCAAATGAAAATTTTTAGGTTTTTCAAATTTTTATTTTATTTTTTTAGAGACAAGGTCTCATTCTGTCACCCAGGCTGGAGGGCAGTGGCACAATCATGTGCTCACTGTGGCCTCAATTTCCTGGGTACAAGCTATCCTCCTGTCTCAGCTTCCCAAGTAGCAGGCTCCCTCCACCATGCCTGGCTGCTTTTTAATTTTTTTATAGAGACAGGGTCTCACTATGTTACTGACGCGGGCCTCAAGAGATCCTCCCGCCTCAGTTTCCCACAGTGTGGGAATTACAGGCATAAGCCACTGCACCTGCCCTAATTTTTAGTTTAAAGGTAGGAGCAGAAATGCCCCAAGGAGGAACAAACAATGAACCATGCAGATCTAACTCAAATCCCAGCACTACTGGAACCAGAAGGTGGGCTGGCTACCTAAGTATGCTCTGCTTTGTTTTCTCCTACTTACAAAGAAAGATGACACCTTCCTCTATTTCATACGCTTCAATCTGCATCTAAGGTACAGCTTCTGTAATCATGAACATATTTTTAAATGGAAGCAAAATTTTTGTGAGTTTTTTGTTTTACCATTTTTTCCTTAATCAGCTGAGCTACTTTCTTCTGGGATTGGGCTAATTTCTCTTTGGGATGAGACATACAGTCTACGGCCTTCTCCTCTTCTTTAGCTTTAGTTTCCTCTTCACTCTCTCCACATCCACTGGTGTGATACAACTTATCTGTTTGCTGGTGAGCTGGGATCTCGGTTTGCTGTGACCTGTAGGTATGAGAGAAGGGATTCAGGATTTAACCACCTTTGCCATCTCAAACAAGGTAAAATTGAAGGCATAGCTCTCCCAGCTGGGGGATAGGGACATGCTTTCAAACATAAACTTGAAGGAATAAAGCTAGGCAGTAAACTCACATCACCCTCAAAGCTTAGCATTAAGACAGCAATGTGGTGGTTCAAATGAAGCCTAGTTATAGAGGTGCAGCTCTACTGCTTACTAATCACATGACCCTAACCAAGTTATTAATTTAGTTCTCTGTAAAATGAGAATATGAATGCCTACTTGATGAGGTTATGGGATTAAATGAGATAATACTCATAAATCAGTTAGCACACTGTGTGGCCTTTTCTAAGTGTTCCTTTCATGTTAGCTATTAGTATATCATTAGCTCCAGGACAGGACTGCTTCTAGAAATGAGGGTGTTGAACTGGAAGATCCCCAGGAACATCTGTGTTCTAAAAATCTGATCCAAACAAGGAAAAGAAAATGGATATAATGAAATAAGGGAAAGGGAACCAACATTTTGAGGCTAGACTTTGCATGTCTTCTTTCTCATATCTTAAAAGCTTCAACATGTGATGGCCAAGAAAAGAGGACATGGGTCCCACCAGAGAGAGTGAAGGAACCCTATACTACATCAAGTGCAGGGCCAGAGGAGAAATATCCTTAGTTGCGTTAAAAAGAACTATATCCTAACATTGCCAGAAAAATCAGTAAAGTGCTAGAGAAGAAACAGAATTTTGAGATCTTAGGAGCAACAACAGAAATTTTAAGTATAAATAAGTCTCCCAAAGGACTCATCTTTGTACTCACAATAACTCAAAAGTTCAGCCACTGAGTAGTTTTGAAAATAAAATTTACCTTTCTTTTCCAGTGATTGCTTAAATTGTGAATGTTCAATGTGTAAATAAACGAACATTCAGAAAAGCACGAAAAGAAAGTAACTGCCACGTGTAATCTTTTACACCAGGTTTGAAAAATGACATGCTAATATTCTTCTAGAGTCCTATTCTAATTAACTTATCAAGAGGCACATGGGCAAACCAGGTTGTGTAGATAGGAAAGCAACATTTCTTCAGGCCCAAGTGCAGGCAGGCTTGCCTTCTGCCCACAGCTGAGCATGCTTTCAGTAGACAAGCTAACTTGATGGGACAGCCAAGGAAGGTTGGCGATGCGACCTGATCAGAAGACAGGTGATAAACTTCCTTTTCTCTGCCTGGTGAATTCCATACTCCACCTTCAAGATGCAACTCAGACGTCATCACTCCTGGAAGTCTTTCACTGGAGTAGCAATAAAGGCAGCCTCCAAAGGGCTTTCAAAAATTTCCCCCAAACCGCTAGTACACTGTGGGGTTTTTTTATTGTTGTTTGATTTTTTTTTTATTGTTGTTTCTTTGGCTTGTTTCTGAGCATTCTTTGCCTCCTGGCAAAGTAAACTCCACCAGGGCAGGGGCTGAGCCTCATTTGTTTCTGAAAACCTGATATCTGGCTCACAGTAAAAACAAATAATGGCCTGTTAAATGATGAAAAAATGAATGAGAAAAGAATGTGCAGTTTTTAGAATGTTTGAAAACTATTGAGGAGAGAAGAAATCTGTGGCAAGAGATCATAAGTCGGCTGACTCTGGGCATGCTGCCTATAAGCTAGCCCTGCTCTGCACGGAGCAGTTAAAAAATAAAAAAGAGATCATACCTCAATAGAAAATTTTGCTTAAGCTGCATATTTCACAGACCTAGAGCAGAAGTTAAATCTATTGGAGTCACCAAACAGATTGCTAATTATGGGTATTAAAAATTATAAGCCCAAAGTATTTTAAGTTAAGCCTTGAATAACATTAAGGTAAGACCGAAGGTAGCAAACTTCAACCTTAGGGACTTCAAAGGAATGATAAACATTGAGGTCTTGACAAATGATTTGAGAATGTAAATCCCTGAATTAGCTTTGAACGTCGTGTTATAAAAGGTGAGAAAGATGGCTAGAGAATCCTGACCAGTCAGACATCTCAAAGGATGGTCAGAATAAAAAGAAGAGGAGATTGAATGGAAGGTCTGCCTTGCCAGGCTTATAACTTATTCCATATGTTACCATCTTAAATAGGAATTCTGATTAGTAATGTTCAATATAAATTATCTGATTATTTCCCAGATATTTTACTGTGAACATTTTTATGAACTTCAATTTTTATAGTCACATAACCCTTAACATCAAGATATTTTATGAATTTAAACTTATGCAATCCAGATGGGGCACAGTGGCTCACACCTGTAATCCCAGCACTTTGGAAGGTCGAGGTGCGTGGATCACTTGCGGTCAGGAGTTCGAGACCAGCCTGGCCAACATGGTGGAACCCTGTGTCTCCTAAAAAATTCCACAATGAGCCCGTAATCCCAGCTACTTAGGAGGCTGAGGCACGAGAATAGCTTGAACCTAGGGGGCGAACGGTGCAGTGAGTCAAGATCATGCCACTGCACTCCAGCCTGGGTGACAAAGCAAGACTCTGTGCAGGGAGCCAAAGGCCCGTGGGACGTGATCAACTCAGCATTCCACTGGAGACGATATGATCAAACAGCAAACTGTTTATCATGAATGCAGGATGTGAGCAAACTCACCAGTGCTCCTGCCGACAGAAGGTTTGCTGGAGGCAATCGCTCCCTGGCGCTGAGGTTATCTACTGTGACATCTAGAGCCTGTTGTTCGAGGAATGCAGTCTTGCAAGCCTACTCTGGACTGAGCAGCTGACCCCTCTTCCACCCCCCTTCTCACCATCTCTTTTGCCTAATAAATATGGAGGGCTGTGTACAGCTCAGGGCCCTTGTCCACTAGAGGCAAGGTGCCCCCTGACCTCTTCTTCCAAATATACTCTTTTGTCTCTTGTCTTTTATTCCTGCGTTCAGCCCTCCTTTGTTCAGTCCACCAGGGATCATGGCAGGTTACATAGGGACCCCCAAACAGCGACAGAATCTCGTGCTCCACAACTCTGTCCCAAAAAAAAAGAACAAAATGCTATCCTATATGGCAACTACTAGCCACATGTGGCCATCAAGCACATGAAATATTGCTAGTCTGAATTGAGATATGCTGTAAATGTAAAATATGTGCTGTATTTTAAAGAGTATAAAAAGATAAAATATTTCATTGATAATTTTTGCATATTTTGTATATATTGAAATAAAGAAAATATAGTATTGAAATTAAATTCATATGTTTCATTTCACCTTTTAATATGGGTAGCAGAAAATTTTAAATTACGTATGTGGCTTGAGTTATATTTCTATTTGATGGCACTGGTATAGAGCGATGGTTCCCAGCTAAGGATGACTTTGCCCCGAAGGGAAATCTGGCAGCGTCTGGAGACAGTTTTGCTTGTCACAACTGGAGCTAGTGCTACCGGCATCTAGTGGATAGTGGCCAGGGATGTGGCTAAAAATCCTATAGTATATAAGACAACCCTCCACAACAAACAGTTATCCAACCCCAATGTCAATAGTGCAGAGATTGAGAAACCCTGGTATAGAGAATGGTTAAAGAATGGACTCTAGCTGGGCACAGTGGCTCATGCCTGTAATCCCAGCACTTTGAGAGGCTGAGGCAGGAGGATCACTTGAGCCCAGGAGTTCGAGACCAGCCTAGGCAACATAATGAGAACCCATCTCTACAAAAATGTAAAAATTAGCCAGTTATGGTGGTGTGTGCCTGTAGTCCCAGCTGCTCGGGAGGCTGAGGTGGGAGGATCTCTTTAGCCCAAGAGGCCAAGGCTGCAGTGAGCTGTAATTGCACCACTGCACTCCAGCCTGGGTGACAGAGCAAGACTGTCTCTAAAAGCAAAACAAAACAAAACAAGAATGGATTCTAGAGTCAGAATGCCCAGATTAAATACCACTTACTAGCTGTGCAACTTCGGGCAAACTCCCTAACATCTCTTTGATTCATACTCATCTATAAAATGTACCAATAACAGTACCTCCTTCACAGGGTTTGGGGGGATTAAATCAGCTAAGATGTTTAAGGTACTTAGAACAGAGCCTGGTACAAGTATGTGCTCAATAAGCATTAGACAATATGAAAGTTTTATTTACTGTTTCATAAAACTTAATTTTCTCATTAACTTTGTTATAGCTAACTCTCTACAACTTTGCCAATCTTGTTATAACTAATCTATTTTTATTTTAAAAACTTCTAAAATCTCCTTAAGTCAGGAAAAAGCAATCTTCTATCATGCATAGGCTGTAAATACAAACAGATAATATAGCAGAATCATTATTAAAGCACATCACAGAAAGACAACCTTCTTTTTTTTTTTTTTTTTTTTTTTGAGACAGTGTCTCTGTTGCCCAGACTGGAGTGTAGTGGTGCAATCTCAGCTCGCGGCAACCTCTGCCTCCAGGTTCAAGCTATTCTCCTGCCTCAGCCTCCTGAGTAGCTGGGACTACAGTCGCGCACCACTACTGCACAGCTAATTTCTGTATTTTTAGTAGAGATGGGGTTTTACCATGTTGGCCAGGCTGGCCCTGAACCCTTCTCTTTTATATAATGTTCATGCAAAGCTCCTCACCCAGGTTTGCCTTAAGCAGGAGGTCCCAGTGTTTCAGCCCAGTGAGTACCTGTGATGTCAAAATTCTGTGATACTTACATACGGAAGCAGAAATCCCAGTCGATGTCATTGCTAACAGTTGGGATACGGATGGGGCTGGCTTGCATCTTCTTCCTACCAAGAATCAGGTAAGGTCAGCTTTGGGGGAAAAGGCTGGGTGTCTGTTCTATTTTCCCCCTCTGGGATGCTATTAACATTAAACTAAAACTGCTCAAATATATAACCCATCCTAAATCCACAGACTACGCATACTCAGATATGGAGACCGCTGGAAGACAGACGGTCTTTAATTTGCCAAATTAAATGTCAGTTAAATTTATTTCCCCTAATTTCAACTCCACCCTACTTCTCCAAAATCCCTGGCCTTTATGTCTCAAAGCAAGCACATTTACAGCTCCTGGGTCATCAAAACTATGGTCACCTACTCAACTCAGATATTGTTTTTGCAGGTCTGATGGCATGATGGATTTAAGCAAAGCAACCAGTTCTCAGTGGTAAACGAAGCACAGTGTGTTGGTTAATTCTGCTTTTTTTCGCTGGGGTCATTTCACTAATTAATAGCAGATTCTAGTAAAGGGGTCACAAAGCGGGTACAGAGGCTCACGCCTGTAATCCCAGCACTGTGGAAGGCCGAAGCAGGTGGATCACCTGAGTTCAGGAGTTTCAGACCAGCCTGGCCAACATGGTGAAACCCTGTCTCTACTAAAAATACAAAATTTAGCCCGCTGTGGTGGTGCACGCCTGTAGTTCCAGCTACCCAGGAGGCTGAGTTTGTAAGTATCACAGAATTTTGACATCACAGCCGGGAGGCTGAGGCAGGAGAATCGCTTGAACCCGGGAGGGGGAGATCGCAGCAAGCCGAGATCCCGCCACTGCACTCCAGCCTGGGCGACAAAGCGAGACTCCATCTCAAAATAAAATAAAACAATAAAATGAAATTCATGTGTCTGTTTTAGTTGTTGCTGTTAGATGATGGGGGAAACCTCGGAAGCACATGACGAAAAATGTGATTTCTAAATACAGTATTTGTGAAATTCAACTCTCAAGGAAGGCTATGCCAGGCGCTTAAACCAAATCCAAATCGAACGCAGTTATTTACTGAACGTTAACATCCACCAAGTAGCCTCTCATTTCACCCTCCAGAAATCACTCATTCCCGCCGACCCCTGAGTGGCTTTCTGACCCAGGCTCCAGAGCATCCACTAACCGAAAATCAGAAAGGGAGACTCACTAATTTCTCTTTTTAACCTCCACTTTAAACACTATGCCCACAGCAAGGCGTTCTGATCTCTCAAACTTCCGGACTCTGTTCCTATGATGTTCCGCATGGCCCTGAACACTAAACTCTGGTCCCCCGCTCAGGTACGAATCGCTCCTCTTTTCCTGCTGTGGTTCCGCGGTCACTCCGTTAAGCCCTGACGCCACAGGTCGGGCTCTGCTTAGCACTGACCCTGCAGCGGAGGCTCTAAGAGAACGCGCGAGTGCGCACAGCATACCTTGCCCAAGGCGGGGAATCCACGCCCCGGAACCAGCCTCCCCGCTCCCTCAGCCCGACTGCGCGGCTTCTTCCCGCTGCGTCGGCCTCCTGATCCTGGCCGATCTCGGTCCGGGCGCCAAAGCGGTGCCTCGCAGAAGTTACACAGCCTGCGAGGTCCCCTTTATCTTCCGCAACCCAGGTTCCGGCCAAGGAGACAATACCGTTGCCATGGGGACGGAACGCTACGGGCCTGCTGCGAGCCCCTGTAGCCATAGCGACGCGGGGCGCTTCCGGTTCGGAGAGTCCCTGTTGGCTAGAGCCTACAGCAGCTCTTACGGCACCCTCCGCTTTCCCGTCCCCGCAGGCTAGACGCTCACGGCCTCCGGCTCGCCCCAAAACTGGCCTCTGCATATTGTATCTCACCAGACCTTACCACTCGGAGGTGAAGGCATAGGAAGAGAAGATACATTCCGTCCAAAGATGGAAGGGAGCGCTGGGCCCCACGACCCTACCTATTTAAAGCTGCGACGTGTGCGGGCTGGATTCGGCGACGATCCCTTGCTACGGAGCACCCCCACAGCTCCTCGGGAGTTTTGTTTTCGTGGACCCCAGAGGAAAGGCTTAGATATGGCTGTTGACTGTGCTGGCATCGTCTGTTCTACCCAGTCAGATTGGAGCTAGGCCTGGTTAGGAAAGCGGATTGCAGGAAGTGAGTAGGCTAAGAAATCAACTACTCTAAGATCTGCTAATGGTTAGCTGTTCAGCGAGGGAGTCGGGCACATTTAGCACTTAGCCCTAAATAATGCAGCCATATCTTACCCCTTCGTTGGCCTGGAATACACAGTGTCTGGAATACACAGTGTGTGTAATGCACAGAAGGAGCAGAGGCAGTTGTGGCCATACCCAAACAGCGCCAGCTCTTAACAACGCTATGTTGAAGGATGTTATTATGAAACCTATCACAGACTAGGCCTATGGCAAGTCAAGTTGGAGTGAATGTGTCCCAGTTGTTTTCAGAAAAGAGCAGACTAGGTAGAGAGACAAGGAGAACATTGAGAATGTGACAGATGGTATTTACGTTTGGTGTTTGTTATTTCCAGCTCGAGGATGGAAGTTTAATTGCCATTGATCCAAGACTGCCAAGAAAGCCTTTCTAGGGTTAGCTTGGAGGAGTTATTTAAATGAGTTTGCTTGAATATCTCTTAAGTAAAGCCTGTATGATCTGTTAACTCAGGATTTAAATCAGTACCTTCGAGCTCCATAGTCACAATTTTGGAAAGATTCCCCCACTTCCTTCTTTTTCCTAAGAAAACTCTCAGCATGGAACAATGATGACAGCAATGAACTTGATTTCAGAATGTCAAGGTTCTGGTTCTGACAAGTGTGTGGGTCCCAATTTTCTTGCCTATACAGTGAAAGTACTTGTACCACTTAGTTTCTGAAGCTCCTTTTGGTTCCAGGTTTCTGTAAGGGGTAAACGATTTTTGTGACTCCATGAACAGTATTTAACATGTATGGCAGTAAAAAGGAAGACTCTGTTTCCTGTTCTCCAACATTTATTTCTCTCACCCCTTGTTAAGTTGGTCATCAAATTGAAAGGTTTTAGTGTTCTTTCATTGTGGGAAGTGGCTATGGGATTGTTTCTAAGTATATTAATGGTAATGTCTTCTAAACTTTTGCTTTTGCTGATAATTGTGAAGGGAAGTGGAACAAGAACAGACACTGAATTCCCATTCCTGAAGCTAACTCTCTGATTCGGCCTCCATTTCATTAGCTCTGACCAGAAGCACGTTGCCTGCATCTGTAAAAATTATAAATCAAAATAAAAGAACTTTGACGACTTTTTTTTTTTTTTTTTTTGAGACGAAGTCTCACTCTGTGGCCCAGGTTGGAGTGCAGTGGTGTGATCTTGGCTCACTGCAACCTCCACCTCCCTCCCGCATTCAAGCAATTCTCTTGCCTCAGCCTCCCAAGTATCTGGAATCACAGGCCAGTACCTGTGCCACAACCGTCTGGCTAGTTTTTGTATTTTTGGTAGAGACAGGGTTTCACTATGTTGGCCAGGCTGGTCTCGAACTCCTGACCTCAGGTGATCTGCCTGCCTCGGCCTCCCGAAGTGCTGAGATTACAGGTGTGAGCCACCGTCCAGCCAGAACTTTGAAGACTCTTGAAGTTCTGTGGTATTTTCTTTCCTTGCCACGTTAACCCTGTCTCCCAAATGTAAGCTTTAGTTGTAGTATATACACTTTTTAGGTTTGTTCACTAACTCTGGGATGGAATCCCACTAATCGAAGTGGATAGTGCTTTTCCACTGTGTGTATTCACATTCTCTCCCCTGATCTGGAGGTAGAGGTGGCAAGTATTGCTACTGCAGAAATTGCATAGAGGAAGCAGTCTGGAGAGTTTTCTAGGCTCTTACAACCCCAAATGAAATATGATTATCTCCAAACTATTCTATCTCCAGGAACTGTGAAATTTAAGGCAAGGAAATCCAAATAAACATTCTCTTGGAACACATTGTTATGGCCTCTCAAGAGAGGGTTAGATGCCTTGCTTCTGAACTCCCGCAGTATCCTGTCCACAAGCTCATCATGATTTTCACATTGTACTGGCATTTCTGTTTATTTGCAAGTTTCTCCAGTCTCCATACATCTATCCTTCCACCCAGACAAAAATATCTGTGGAATACCTACTATGTGCCTGATAATGTTACAAGCAGTAGGAAAGCAAAAGTGAACAAATAAGAATGATTTTGCTTTCCAGGAATTTCTGTTCTACTAGATGAAGAAAAACACAGCTGCTAGTAAACAATAGTGTCTCTGCAAGTTACAAAAAGGCATAAGGCTTAGGAAGTATGCCGCAACATTGTATGAATTTGGGAAAAGCCTCTTCTTCCAGCCAGACTCAGATCGCTGCTAAGGAGTACAGCTTTGGGAATAGAGAGTGGGCTGGAATTCAGGACTCACTCACTTCCTTAGCTAGATGAGTCGCCTTAAGAAAAAGTGGGCGAGGTGTGGTGGCTCATGCCTGTAATCCCAGCACTTTGGGAGGCTGAGACAGGTGGATCACGAGGTCAGGAGTTCAAGACCAGCCTGGCCAACATGGCGAAACCCGGTCTCTACTAAAAGTAAAAAATTAGCTGGGCGTGGTGGCAGGTACCTGTAATCCCAGCTACTCGGGAGGCTGAGGCAGGAGAATCGCTTGAACCTGGGAGGCAGAGGTTGCAGTGAACCGAGATTGTTCCATTGCACTCCAGCCTGGGTGACAAGAGCAAGACTCCATCTCAAAAAAAAAAAAAAAAAAAAAAAAAAGGAAAAGAAAACGAAAACGTGATAAACAGTTATGGAGAAAAATAAAACCAAGTGAGGGATCTAGAAGGTGATGTGGCCATGGCGGGAGGGGTGTGCTATCTTACATAGTGTGGTTAAACAGGGCCTCTCTGACAAGATGACATTGAGAAGAGACCTCAAATCGTGCAACAAATTGGGCAAATATCTAGAACATTCTAAGATGTTAACAGCAAGTGCAAAAGCCCTGAGGTAGGAGCAAGTTTAATGGGGTCAAAGAACAGCAAAGGGCAGTAGGAATGAGGAGGAAGGAGACAAAAGACTGTTCCAGTAAAGTAGTGGGGCACTGGGTCATGGAGGGCCTTTTAGGCAATCTATCTGTCTAAATATTCATCTACCCACTCAGTGAATACAGAATACCTGCTAGGTAGCAGGCCCTGTTTGGCCAGCTATGAGCTCCTTGTGAGCAGGAGCTGTTATCATTGAGCCTTTAGCATTCAGCACAAAAACATTTAATAAACTACAAATGACCTTTAGGAACTCCACTAGTAGAGATTCTGGCCTACCTGTGCGCATCAGTTTCCTATTGTTGCTATAATAACTCACCACAAACTCAGTGGCTTAACAAACCACAACTTTATTGTATAATTCTGGAGGTTGAAAGTCTGAAATGGGTATCACTGGGCTAAAGACAAGATGTCTGCAAGGGTGGCTCCTTCTGGGAGCTCAAGGAGAAAATTTTTTCTTAACCTTTTCCAGCCTCTAGAGCTTGCCTGCATTCCTTGATTTGTTCTCTTCATCTTCAAAGCCAGCAGCAATGCAGCGTCTTCAAATCTCTGACCCTTCTTTCCATTTTAAAAGACACTTCTTGTTATACTGGGCCCACCTGGATAATCTTATTTAAAGGTCAGCAGATTAGCAGCCTTCATTCTATCAGCAACCTTAATTCCTCCTTGTCATGTAACTTATTCACAGGTTAGATTCACAGCTAACGAATTCACAGGTTCTGAGGATTAGGACATGGACGTCTTTGGGAGGACTTATTCTGCTTACTAGAGTGTGTAACTTAAATGCATGGCTTTAAAAACATATGGAGGTGACACATAAGGAGCCCGCTTCTCCTGGCTGTTAGCAGCTTATATCATTGGACTGTGTCCTGCTCCTTTCTGTCCCTTACTGATGTGGTTTGGCTGTGTCCCTACCCAAATCTCATCTTGAATTCCCACGTGTTGTTGGGGGAACCTGGTGGGAGATAATTGAATCATGAGGGTGGGTCTTTCCCGTGCTGTTCTTGTGATTGTGGATAAGTCTTACGAGATCTGATGGTTTTAAAAACAGGAGTTTCCCTGCACAAGCTCTCTCTTTGCCTGCTGCCATCCATTTAAGACGTGACTTGCTCCTCCTTGCCTTCTACTATGACTGAGAGGCCTCCCTAGCCATGTGGAACTGTAAGTCTATGAAACCTTTCTTTTGTAAATTGCCCAGTCTTGGGTATGTTTTTATCAGCAGCATGAAAATGGAATAATACTCTTATGTATCCGCCACTGTAAAATCTGGTACATCCAGTTAAGATTCTTGGATATGCTGTTTCTTCCCATTTTAGAGCCTGCTTTATAGTAAGTATGCAGGAATATCTCTTTGCTTTCCTCCTACTCACCTCGTGGGGGCTTTACTCCTCAAAGAAGCCTTTCCATCTACTGGAACCCATATTGATTGTTCCCTTGCCCAGCTCCTATGGCTCACTGAGCCCTTCTTCTTTGTTTCTCAAATATGTCACACACTACCATAATGCTTGACAAATCTCTGCCCTGATCTGGTGAACAGAAATTGCTACTCTTGTGAATGCCCTGGTTCTTTGGTCTATGGCTTTTTTCCAGCTCACTCTTGGCCTTGCAGTCTGCCTCTTAATTTTGCTCAAAAAATGACTCCCATCTTTGT